AAATAAATAAATAAATAAATAAAGGGAGCTGAGTCCACGCCCTGGCCCATGACTTGTGTTTTCTGCAGGCTGATTAATCCAAAGTCTTGGCAGGTCTTGTTAAAATGATTCATGAGTTATTGGAAGTCTTCAGCAGCAGCAACAGCTTCATCATCGGTGAAGAGGAAGTCCCGCATGCCTTTCAGCTGGACTTTGATCTTCACTCTCAGTCTAGAGAGATTAAAGAGCTTTCCATCTGATCTAGTCCAGAGATAGACACCAGTACATAACACAATTATAAACTGATACATCCTAACATATGTAGGAACATCAACAAATTGTGTAGTCAGACACAGATGAAGTTTCACCAGTAAAGATTATGGCATTATCAGAGCAGTTCTGGATTGCCTCACTGTCCAAAATGCCTTTTTTTGAAAACACAGATGTTTTGAGCTGCTACTCAACATTCTTCCAAAGTTGCTACAAAAATCTCTCAAAAGTATGTGATGAAACAATTGATCTCTCAGGATCTCCCGGTTTGCACAGTCCAACAACAACTTCTTGAGTTCTATGCTGAGTTCTGCTCCTTTTTTCAGGGTAATATGTTGGAGAATGGTTTATTTGAAGCTCTCCCAAACAGTAAAACTAGGGATCAAATTAAGCAAACACATATTTCCTGCTATTACAAAATTTTACCTCTAGGCATGCAGTTCCTTCAAAGTTTAATGTGACTTGTGATTTGAAATGAAACTCATGTTGAATTCCTAATGACATTCCCCAAAAAAGAAGTTACAGAATTGCAAAATGTGCAGTTAAGCATGTGCATGACAAGACAATCAGATATCTGTTATCACTCCAAGAATCTCTGCTTCTAATATTATCATCTACATTGAACCTAGGTATAACAGCCTTATATTACAGAAGGCCAAATTTCAGTTACACATAAGGACTAATGTCTTGATGATCTGTATAATTTAACAATGATTTCTAAATTACCTAGTGGGTTAGTGAGTTGTCTTCAAGTAAAGATTGGACTGCCCTCTGCTGGTAATGTTCTAGTCTTGGGTTTCCTCAGGTGAGCAGGAGAGAGGATTAGATATCCTACAAGATCCCAGAACCAGGGTTAGTTTCCAAACTAAACATCTTCTAGATGAGCACGTAAGTTCCATCTGTAGCATATGAAGAAAACTATCCTTCAGTTTTTCTTGGAGTGTCATGCATGTAAATACCAAAAAACTACCAGACAGAATTTACAGTGACGGACTGGAATTAAAAACGAAGTTCAACTACACTCAACCATGAAATTGAGTGGGTGACTATAAGCTACTCAATATCTCTCTACTGAACATACATTACAGACATTGTCATGGTGATAAAATATGAGTGTTTACTCCTTCTGTTTCTTGGATGATAGTCACTGCATAAATAAATAATAATAACTGAGATGTTAATCTACTGTATACCTACTGGTTTCCTTGCCCATATACGTAGAAGCTCACATCTACATGGAGATATCAGTACCAACAGAAGTGGATTGTTAAAAGAAAAAAAAATTATGTGTATCCCTCCACTCTTGTCTATTCTTTCTAGGCATATTCCTTTCAACCTTTTTTTTTAAAAAAATCAAAATATTGTACAACGATTGAGTCATCTTTCCTTTCGGGAATTGCCTGTCATCTCACCTGCTGTGCCTTTAAGTTCTGTACAAAAGCCTGCTGATCAGAACTGCACTTCAAATCTATGTATTCTCTCTAAATCTAATGACCAGTATCCCGTTGATTAAAGTCAAAGCAAAAGGGTAATCACTCTGCTGGGGTTCCTGTCATACGACCAATCTCATGACCAACCTCTCAACCACTGCAAAAATGGACACACAATGGGGAGTCTGCTACAGCAAGGGAAAAGACGCTTCCATGATTGCCCTTCTGCTCTACAATTATCCCTGTCAATGAGATAATAACAATTTTCTTCATAGCCAGGTATCCCAGGTGCCCATCTAAGAAGCAGCTTCCCAATTTTTGAATGTTGGCTGGGTCATTTTTTCTCTCCCTCCATCCCTTCTTCAGCACCCTAGTCCCATCATTTCATCCCACTCTCTTCCATCTCCCCTCCTTTGGCCACTGCCAGACTGTTCTCATTCCCTTGTGCTTCATGACCCACCACTGCACTTCCCTCTTTTCTTCCTTCTCCCACCACACCAATACACTCTGCTGCCTGCCTATCTTTGTGAAGGAATGTCTATAAACAAAATGCAGGCAAGCAGAAAAGCAGCAATGCTGCTGCCTCCACTGTAGGAAAAGAAAAACCAAGGACATAGACTGTAAGGTAATGTTTTGGGGAAGCATTAGAGAAAAGAGAAGAAAGAGAAGGAGGCAGGAGGAAAAGAACTGCTGAACAACTCAGATTAGGTCCCTGGCTATGGAGCCAGAGGTTGCAAGTTCGATTCTCCCCCACTGTACTCCTTGGCTATGGCTGGACTCCTTGATCCACAGCATCTCTTCTAGTTCTGCAGTTTGAAGATGATGGTGATGGTGATGGTGATGGTGATGGTGATGGTGATGGTGATGGTGATGATGATGATGATGATGATGATGATGATGATGATGATTATTATTATTATTATTATTATTATTATTATTATTATTATTATTATTATTATTATTATTATTATTATTATTATTATTATTATTATTATTATTAGTGCCACCTTCCCATTACACCAGCATTCCTTTCCCCCTCCTGCCATCCAACTTTCCTCAGGGCTCCTTGCCTTGCAGCAGTGCTAGTACTGCCATCACCACCGTCGTCACCACCACTACTACCTGGCTGCCTATCTGGTCTCCAGGCCCTGCTTTAGGAGGTGATGCAAGTGGAAAGGAGGGAAAGAACCCTGGGGCACAAGATGAGGCAAGGGGAAGGGGAAGAAAGAGCTGGTGACATAAGGCAACAGTAGCGCCGTGACTGAGAATGGAGAAGGAAAAGTGAGGCAGCCACAGCAGAGGTACACCATGAAAGTGGGAGCGGCACACTCTTCCACGGCTGGTTCTGTGCCGCCTGAGATGGCCACTGCCTTCTGCCTCGGAGACAGGCCAGTCCTGCCGGTACCCTGCTCTCCTGGGGCACTCCAGGTGCTGGATTTCCGTCTCCCGTCCAGGCATTTTTGCTCGTCCTTTTTCTAGCACTTCACCCTGACGAGAACGTATCTATGCACCCCCCCCCCAAGCGCTGGCGTGCAACACGTTGCCCCTGGAAAGAACCAGGAAGGGACACCGTCCTAGCTTCATCCTGCGCCCTCCCCCCCCCCACCCGCCTCACGTTTGTTCATTGTGTGCACTTCGCTTTGAATGGTTAGGCGCCTTCCCTACCGTGCACTTCATGCAGCCCCGCCTCAGCTCTCGCGGGTGCAACCTGTCGCACTGCCTCTGCACGGCAGCCCCCCCCCCCGCCATGCAGCCCGCGAGAGCCCTTTCCTCCGTTCTCTTGCAGCTCTTGCAAACTTCCCTCTTTATCTCTCTCCCTCACCTCCCTCTCTCCGCTTCGCCTCGGGACTTGCGTATCGCTCCCGTGTCTGGAGCGACACCACACACACACACACACACACACACACACCCCACACTTGCACGCCGAGTCCAGAAAACGACACCCCCCTCCCCCCCACCCCCGTTCTTCACTGTCGAATCTCAAACCCCAGTCCCGACCCAGAGTGAGCTCTTCGTAGCTTTTTGGCGGTCCAGTTGGGCTGGGTGGGGGGGGCGACGAGAGAGAAACGATCCCTCAGCCTCGGAGAGTACAGAGGCGGAAGGAAGGCTCTTCCCCTCACATCCACGCGGCCACCCCGCTTCCCGCCCTGCTGCTTCTGCTTCCCTCCTGCCGCTTGACGAGCCCAAACGGCTCCCCGAAGAACGTGCATGTGTGTGCTTGCGGAGGGATACCTCCCAGCCCTTCGCGCGTGAGTGTGAGAGTGTGGATGTGTGTGTGTGTGTGTGTATCTGTGTTTTGGTAGCGGCTCCTCCTCCTCCGCGACTGCTCGCGCCGCCGCCGCCGCTTCCTAGATATAGGCGAGTGCGAAGAGGCACTTGCAGTCACTTGGTGAGCGCGGCGCTGCTCGGGTTTGGGGGGCTGGAGTTTTTTTTTTTTTGGAGGGGGGTGTCTTGGCGTTTCTCGCTTTTCCTCCGTCGTCGCTGCTGTTGTGTCTTTGAAGGGAGAGACTGGCGAGCCAGCGAGGAAGAGACGCCGGAATACAGCAGCTGAGGCGGCGGGCAAAGTACAACCGCTGGAGCCGGCTTTTTCCGAGCCGCCGCACCTCTAACTTGGGAACTGTCCACCTCCTGAAAATGAACCTGCTGGCCATTTACCTGCTCGGATTGTTCCTCAGTAGCGGGCAAGGTAGGAATGGGGTCCCCCCTTCTTTTTATCCCTCCCCCCCTTTTCGCCTCCTTCTTTTCTATTTACCCTCTAATTCTACCTCTGGCTCTTCCTCCTTGTAAATCAAATCAAAGACCACCAGGCAACTAGGAGCCCAGCGCCAATTAACATCTGAAATATCATTTTACCCAAGCATCGGTCTCCCTCTAATACAAATATCTTCCCTCTCTCTCCGAAGGAAAGGCGCTAATTTTAGGGAGGAGGCAAAAAAAAAAAAAAAAAAAAAACGTTACACGTAATGAAAGATCAACGAAAGCGGGGTAAAGGACGAAGAAAGGAGAGATGCTAATTGCAATTTTCTTGGAAGCTTTTTTTCCCTGCTCTTATTCCGAACAATAATCGTTTTTCTTTACGCTGGATTTTTTTTTAATGCAGCAAAAGGAGCAGGCTGAAAAGACCAAGCGTTTCTTTCAGGTGTTAACCGAATCTGATGGGTTTAAAAATAATAATAAAGTAAAACAACATAGTATAAAAATGTAGGTAGTATGTGTCAGGAGAAATTATGGAGAATGCCCTCCCCTCTGGGTTAAGAGGGAATGATCTCTCTTTCTATGATTCTGTAAGAAGAGCATTTATTTATTTATTTGCTTGTGAATTTGCTATCAGCAGCTACTGGGTGCTGTGTGGGGTGCGACACATCTGTGCGTCTGTAGGTATGCACAAGCAGTTTTGGTGCGAGGCATTGTGTTGCTTATGCACCGTCTTGTAAAGAAATGATTGGCAATTGTGCAAGAAGAACTCACTAAAGGCACAGGCTATACCTATGTGCCACTGGTTCATGTGTTTGTTTGTGTGTTGAAATATATAGCAGCTTTCACCCTAGAATAAAGGCTGAACTGTGTATCTATTATACGTTGCTTACTTGTAGGTTACTTCAGGATTCTACTACTTTTGGTCAGGAGGAGGGAGTGCTGAACTGTGTGAATATGACACACTGAAAGAGCCTCTTTGTGCAAATTAATTGCAGCGTTTCAAACTGCTGGGACAAGTTTTTGGCATGACTTGAAGAGTGGGCTAAATTGCTTAGGAGAGCTTGCTTTGCCCTCCCAGTTGACAGATGGACAAATGTCCCTGCAGCTCATTTGGCTGGAGATTAGATGTTTTAAAAAACAAGGGGAGGGGGAAAGAAGGTGGAAGAAGAACATGCTGTATATTACTTTGTTCTACAATCTGCTTTAGCAGGGAACAAATAAACACTAACTGGGGTTGTTTCTGAATCTGGGTGCATTTTAAAGGTTCTTCTTTTAACTGAGTTACTCTGGCCAGCAGGGGGTGATAGAGTTCCACTGAAATGGCAGTGTTGGTTAACTTGTCTCTTTTGGGAGGCAAAGCTTTTTGCACAGGCAGAGTGAGCCTGTCTCCTATCATTCTTCCAGCACAGCTTGACATTTTGGATGTGACTTCTTCAGTTCTGTCTTCTCATCTCCCAGCCCAGCCATCCCCTCCTTACTACACTGAGCCCACACAATGCAATAATATGCAGATTAGATGCACAGGCCTCTCTTCTCTTGCAGCAGACACACATTCAGAATTAAGATCTCCAGAATTATCACTGCTCTTCTAATTATTTCTTGATGAAAGCCTTTGGGCAAACTGTTGCACATTTTCAAGTCAACAATACTACAGACATTTAGATTAGAGTCTAGAGAATTATTGCATATTTTGTTTTATTGAAATAGAAGTCACTGGATGCTGATGTCTTGTGCAGATATACAGTGGTGTTTACTTGCTACCTTCTAAAGCAACTACATTTAGTGATTTGGCAGAGCCCCAAAGATTTTTAGCAGAACCGCCTGAGAGTTTGGGCAACAGAATATGCTAGCCTACAGACTTCATATCTGTTTAGGGAAATGGTTTGTAAGGGGTTGGCATTGTTAAGTAGGAGAACATTAGTGCACACATTCTGTACTTCTTATGTGCCCTAAAAAGGTATTATTTCAATCACCATTTAATTTATTTACAACACTCTGTGCTGCTCTTTGGAGTCCAGAGTGTATTACACAGGGTTACTGTGTAGTGGTCTTGCATCTATGGACAGAACAGCTTAGCTATAGCAGTAGAATTTGATCATATATATTCAGCCAGAAAAAAATTCTTTGATTCAGATTGTGTTCTATGAAATTTCCATGAAGAACTGCCAAGAGAGATAGCATGTTCATAAATGCACAAAGATCTTTTCAGCATGCATAATATACCCATATTCTGGGTTCAGCGTAGTATAGTTATCTACCATACCACTGCTGCCTTCTTTAATTAGTATCTATGTATGTCACTGTTGAAAGCAATCCTCTCACACTTATCCACATACATTGCTTTTATATCAAGTAATATCTGAAAAGCTTTTGTGTGACATGTTGAGCATCTATGTCATTGAAAATGTGGGGCTAATTTCACAGTCTTCCTTAGCTGAAAAAAAGGGCAAGGAGTTTCCACTCCAGATGCCCTGTTGGGTTGCTTCTGGTATGAATGAATGAAGAAGAATATTAAATTCAAGTATTTCTTTTTGATTGGGGAGGTGAGAAGGAAAATTGTGAGGCAACAGTTGGACACAATTTCCTTGGGAAAAACATAAGATTTGGGGCACAGGGTTCTGTTAACTTGGAAAGATAGGCTGCTCTTTACACTGAACTAGAATCTTTCCTCTTGCATTCTCTTTCTCTGTCAATATTTGAAAGAAGTGGGAGCATATAGGAGGCACAAATAAAATAGGTGGTAATCACTGGGGTCATTTGGTTTCAATATACAAACCTCCAAAGTTCAGGTTTTATGCTGACAATATAGTTGCTGTGGATTTTATAAAGCATGCAGGAAGCTTATTTCCTTGGGATAACAGAGGGAAGCACTGTATTATTAAGCTGGCAGAAAGATTATGTATTTCCTTTTAAGCAGTCACAATGTTTTGAGCTTCAGCAAGGAGGTGTTCGGGATGACAGGAGTGGAAACTGACAAACCTAAGTGTGCACCAGGGATCCGATCAGATGAAAAGGCCCAACACTTCCACTTTAAGTTTCTTCAGAGATTATCAAATGCCAGTCTATTGGAAATACTCCTGTTGACCTGAATCCTAGTTCCAACTAGAACAAATCCAGTGAATCAATGGGATGTAGTTAACTCTTTACTCATCATTCAGCAATTGGTTCAAAAGGCTGCTTTAGTTGGGATTACCAGTTTGATTTAAGCCACTGAATGCATGAAAATATGTCCTGGAGAATTTTGTGAAGGTTGTTTTCGTTTGCTTCTTTTAACAGCTGAAGGTCAATATTTAGCTAGAACCTCAGAGAAAGTTGAGTTGGAAACATACATTTCTTTTTGTACCACACACACAAAACATGTTCAGAATGAGAGATGTAACCTACCAATCAACTATAAATCTAGAGGACAACAGGATTGCCCAGTATTGTCTCATGGTGGCTACTTTTGTTGTATGTTTTGAATTTTACACAATGGTGGAACAGGGTCATAGTTTCTATACAGCAACGTACAGGTACCAGCAAAGTACAACTGTAAGACATGTTGATCTTTCTGCTATACTCATTGTAATATGAAAAAAAAGTGAAGTTATTTTATGGAGGTAAAATGTATCCCTGTTTATAACTCTTTTGAGAGAGCTCCTTCTTCCACTCCCTCTCTCTCCACTGCTTCTGAAATACAGCACTTTGTTTCCAGACACTTCAAATGTTTCTAGTCATTATCTTGTCTGTAATGTTCAAATAAGATTAGAAAATCATGCAAAGTCATTTTAGAAATGGTTTTGTTTTCCTCTTACTTTCTCTAATTAAAAGATAAAAGAATAGCCTCATGTAGAAATAACCACTTTGCTAGTATTAGCCACTGGCAATGGTGCGGCTAAAAAATATTGTAAATAAAATAATAAATATAACAACGGTCACTAAATTTCAGCCATGAGCCCCAATGCTTTAAAAATGGTTTCTACTCCAATTAGATTTGCCAAAATAAGTAACTGTTTAGTAAACTACAGATATATATTCTGAGTATATGGTGAGCCTTTTTTTTCTGAAAAGAGAATTGGACTGATGTTGAAAAATAATCATGGGGAATGTTAATGTACCAAGGCAGAGTGCCCCACTAACTGAAAATAAGAATATTATGGCCTTGGGGAGGGAATGTAAAGCAAATTAAGTGTTTGCTAAGTGCTTGAGGAAATATAAAGGAATGTTATAATTAGTAGCAGGAAGTTGTATTGAGGGAGAATATGCTTCCTGCTAGCCTTATGCCACTCTGCTAGAAATTATAGAGGACTTCAAAACAGTGTGAAAACATGAATAGTGTGAAATGTTATTGTTTACTCTATAGGATTACGTATACAAATAATTTTAATCCATAAACATTAGTGTGACAGTCATGTTAATATGTCTGAGAAATAGTTTAGGATTTCAGGATATTCTGTTTTTGCTGTCTTCTCATGGGAGCAAATGAGAAGACTCTACTTATGTGTAGAGTTCATAAAACTTTTGTAGGGAATGAGTACATGCACTTGCTATAAGAACAACTCTTTTGATGAATTTGTGTAAATTTACAGGTAAGTTTATTTTTTTTAAGCCACAGTTTGATGTATGATATTAGCTCATTAACTAGTTTTCATCATTTCCCACCAAGCTTTCAGATTGATTTACAACATGATAAAGCTCTCCAAATTATTACAGTCTGGGGAATGCACTCTACTTTATATAAAACTCAGAGCCTTCAAACATAATAGGCTTTGACAGTAATAAGCATTCTTAAATATTCTTGAATATACATTTCTATGAACAAAGTACTTGGCAAAAGTTTCCAGAAAAGTTTCCAATGCCTGAATTTACACTTGACCATGTGAATAGGTTTCTGAGTTAGACAAAAATGTGTGGCAAAAGATGTACTGTACTGTTCAAGCAGGCCTGGAAGGGTCTAATTCAAACATCACAGTAAAATCCTTACCTATGTTTGCAAAGTATGTTTGAAAC